CCCCCAGCCGCAGTTAAACACAATGGAAATATCACGTTTGATGAGATCGTCAATATTGTCCGACAGATGCGGCACAGATCTTTAGGTAGAGAACTCTCTGGTAAGAGCAGGACAACATGTAACCACCTTAACTGGAATTTTATGTGCTTTCACTGAGTGGTTAACGTTCTTCTCACTGAAATGGGTCTCAGTAAGATCCAAGATTGGGAGTGCTGCAGTATTTTCTGGATTTTAAAGAATGATCTTGAGCTGGATGTGTTTAATCTAGGCAGCAGGGGATCCATGTGGACTTTGCATTCATGGTTTATGTAACTAGACGGAATGTAAATTTTTAGGGCTGAGCCCGTGGCACACTCGGGAGAGTGTGGCGCTGGGTGCGCAGCAGCGCTCCTGCCACAGGTTCGGATCCTATATAGGGATGGCCGGTGCGCTCACTGGCTGAGCACAGTGCGGCCGGTCTCAAAAAAAAAATTTTTTTTTTAAATTTTAGAGCTGCAGGAATATCACTGCTTCCTTGCCTGCTGTGTAATTCAAAAGTACCTGTCCCCATATCTGAGGATTGAGGGACTGGGAGCTGCTCTGATGCCATTTTTTAATGACAGGAACCATTAAAGAGATTCTGTGGACTGCCCAGTCTGTGGGCTGCAATGTTGATGGCCGCCACCCTCATGACATCATAGATGACATCAACAGTGGTGCAGTGGAATGCCCAGCTGTGACTTCTGCATCAGTGTCATTTGCTTATAATAGGGGTGAAAGCTGGGGAGGAGCAGCTAATGTGTTCATGGAGATAAGCTGGAAAGTTCTAGAAATGGACAGTGGGTAGGGTTGGGAGATAATCTTTTTTTTTTTTTTTAACTCCTTTAACTGATAGGTTGTTCTTCCCCAGAGAGTTAAGAAGTACAAGGGAAAATTTTTTTTTTTTTCTTTTTTCCTTTTTGTCTTTTTCCGTGTCCGGCAACGGGATCGCAAGCCTCGGCGCCGCTCCCGCGCCTCGCTCAGCCAGTGAGCGGGAACCGGTTTGTATGTGGGATCCGAACCCTCGGACGGGAGCGCCGCCGCACTTCCCAAGCGGTGTACTATAGCAGTGCGCCACAGGGCCGGCCCAAGGGAAAATATTTTAATAAAGGATCCTTTGACTACCCGTGGCCTTTTTTTTTTTTTTTAACCCCTTTAACTGATAGGTTTTTCTTCCCCAGAGAGTTAAAAAGTACAAGGGAAAATTTTTTTTTTTTTCTTTTTTCCTTTTTGTCTTTTTCCGTGTCCGGCAACGGGATCGCAAGCCTCGGCGCCGCTCCCGCGCCTCGCTCAGCCAGTGAGCGGGAACCGGTTTGTATGTGGGATCCGACCCCTCGGCGGGAGCGCCGCCGCGCTTCCCAAGCAGCGCACTATCCAGTGCGCCACCGGGCCGGCCCTACCCGTGGCCTTTTTTTTTTTTTTTAACCCCTTTAACTGATAGGTTTTTCTTCCCCAGAGAGTTAAAAAGTACAAGGGAAAATTTTTTTTTTTTTCTTTTTTCCTTTTTGTCTTTTTCCGTGTCCGGCAACGGGATCGCAAGCCTCGGCGCCGCTCCCGCGCCTCGCTCAGCCAGTGAGCGGGAACCGGTTTGTATGTGGGATCCGACCCCTCGGCGGGAGCGCCGCCGCGCTTCCCAAGCAGCGCACTATCCAGTGCGCCACCGGGCCGGCCCTACCCGTGGCCTTTTTTGTGTGGCAGCTTCCTTGAGGGGGAGTTAGGTCCTTTGTGTGTGTGTGCGGGGGGTGAGGGGGTGCGTCAGTGGCAAAACCTGTGAAGTAACAGTCTGGGTAATAAGTTCTTGTGGGTAACAGATTCTGCCCTGAATGGGATAAACTCAGAAAAGACACCCAGAAAGGAAGACACTGGATACACTTTATGGATCTCTTCATAGGAAAAATGATAGTGGCCAGAAAGAAAACCTGTAGATCAGCATGAACATGGGAAACTAGCTTTCTATCTCACTTGAATTTCATCTGTGGTGGGAGAGGCTGACATTCAATATCACTGACATATCAAAGAAACCTGACGATTATTACCCTTTGATACTGATACCTGGGTTACGTGAAAGTGAGGCTCAGGTGTGCTGCAAGAACTAGCCTACCTCTGCTAACTGGTTCACAGGTTTTTCTCTAGACTTTATCCTAGTAGAGACTATTTTCTAAGATACCTGTGTCACCTGTTTTCCAGATCTCACAACTTGTTCTAGCCACCTTTCTAGTGCCTGTGTTTATCAGTCCCTTTCACTTTTTGATGACCCTCAAGGCACATTGGTATTGTGAGAGACTACACCTAAGCAGCCTGAAATACTACGTGGAAGGGCTTGTGGGTACCAGACTAAAGGGACGTGGAAATGATTGCTTTAAGAACTTTATTTCCCCCACACTTGTCATTTCTTTGCCTTCATTAATTTTTGGAAATGGTACTTTTAAGTCAGTGGTTTTAATCACATCAGGTTGGAAGGGACTACCTGAAGTCCATAGTGAGTATGGGAAACATTTCTGTGCCCAACAAGGCACAGGGACCAAGGAAACCAAGCTAAGGCAGCTTCCCTTACACTGAAGGCAACTCATTGGGAGCCTGTCTCCAATATTCAATAGTTGATTAGCCAAATCCCTGAGATGACACCACACCAGCTGGGTGTGAGAACAGTGGTTAAACTACAATGATGGAGAGGAAGAGGCCTGTGGTGAAAATCTGCATCTCCTAAAGGAAATGTACTTTCCATCAGGAATAATTTGAATTAGGTGCCATCTCTGACCTGCCTCCAACCCAAGCATGCCTGTCTCAGATCTTGCCGCTCTAGTGGCCCTTCCTGTTGAGGCCTCCATAGAATGGGATGTACCTCTTGCTGACGGACTTCATTAGCAGCATCCTCTATTCTCAGTCCCACTATTCTCCGGGTCTGCTTTCTCTGTAAGAGTTCACAAGAGGACGTCGCACCTAACGGTGCTTCTCTGAATTTTCCTATCTTTCCATCATTAAGAAGTATTTCCTCTCCAAGGAGATTCTAGTACTTAATAGTTGACCCTAGAATCCTTTTCCTCACCTCCACTTACTCCCCCAAACTGGATACCTTAATATTTCTCACCTAGTCACTTCTTGCCAATGCTCTTCGTTGTTTTGCAGTAGTTCTCATTACTTCAGGGAGAAATTGCAAACATTGGGAAAAATACCTGACCTTCATGCAAAGAAGCAAGTTCTTCACTCATTGATTTAATCACTTATCCCTAATAAACCAAGGCTTTTGGAGTGCTTGCCACAAAAAGTGCTCTGGACCACTGTCAGACAGGCCCAGGTATTGATTTTGTGGGAGTGTAGAGGTAGCCACCCTCTGGGATTCCTGGATAGGTTTCTTTGCTGCCATTGGTGAGCTGTGAGCAGTGTTATCTTTGTGGGAAGGCTTTGTCAAGAGCATAAACCTAGCTAGGGAAGACTTGGGTCCAAATATTAACTCATCACTTATGTAACATTTGGTAAACTACTTAACATGATGTATCCTAGGAACATGTTTTCAGATTGTGAAAATTACTTGAGCACATACAGTAAGCCCAGTGTCTGGCTGTCTGGTCTCTGAGAGCCAGTGTGCATGGCATTAGTGGTCCTCCTGCAGTGATAGTATTGTTGTTGACATCAAGAATTTCTTCTGCAGATTGAGGTGGTGCCATCTGCTTCTGCCTTGATCATCAAAGCCCTCAAGGAACCACCAAGAGATAGAAAGAAACAAAAAAACAGTGAGTTGGCCATTTTCTCGGATTTGTTTTACCTAGTGGTTTGTGATGGATGTTGTATGCCCAGTGGCTGCATGCTGTCCCTTTAATGAAACAAGAGGTTGGCATAGGGATTGGTTGGTGATTTGGTTAAGGCTGTTAGACCAGGCACTCCCATGTGGCTTTCCCCAGTCCCTGTGTGGGGCAGGTCTCACTCGCAGTGCATGTAGGAGGGAAAAGGCAGTAGACAGGGGACGTAACCGAGAACAGTGAAGTGTACTCAGGAGACCAGTCACAGCTGCCAATACACTGGGCAGCTTAACTAAGCCCAGTAACGTGAGCTCATTTCTCATCTTTAAAACATAACATCCCTTCCATGTCAGATAAAGATTTTGTTTCGCCCTTAGCCACCCGCCACTGCACCTGACCAGTTCTCTGTTGGCTGGTGCAATCCAGTGGTGAGCTGACACTAACCCCAGCTTAGGAAACAGGGTTGTCCTTCATGTGGATGACTCTGTGCCGAAAGCATGGGAACAACCTAGAAACAGGTGAAGGGGAACATTATGAGGGCTGCTCTGGCCACAGATTGTAACAAAGTTTTGGCTGTCTTCTCCCCATCCCCCACAGTTAAACACAATGGAAATATCACGTTTGATGAGATCGTCAACATTGCCCGACAGATGCGGCACAGATCTTTAGCCAGAGAACTCTCTGGTAAGAGCAGGACAACATGTAACCACCTTAACTGGAATTTCATGTGCTTTCACTGAGTGGTTAACGTTTTTCTCACTGAAATGGGTCTCAGTAAGACCCAAGATTGGGAGTGCTGCAGTATTTTCTGGATTTTAAAGAATCATCTTAAGCTGGATATGTTTCATCTGGGCAGCAGGGGATCCATGTGGACTTCGCATTCCTGGGGAATTTATGTAACTAGACGGAATGTAAATTTTTAATGTTAGAGCTGCAGGAATATCACTGCTTCCTTGCCTGCTGTGTAATTCAAAAGTATCTGCCCCCATATCTGAGGATTGTGAGGGACTGGGAGCTGCTCTGATGCCACCTTTCAATTACAGGAACCATTAAAGAGATCCTGGGGACTGCCCAGTCTGTGGGCTGCAACGTTGATGGCCGCCACCCTCATGACATAATAGATGACATCAACAGTGGTGCAGTGGAATGTCCAGGTGTAAGTGACTTCTGCATCAGTGTCATTTGGTTATAAAAGGGGTGAAAGCTGGGGGTGGAGCAGCTAATGTGTTCATGGAGATAAGCTGGAAAGTTCTAGAAATGGACAGTGGGTTGGGTTGGGAGATAATCTTTTTTTTAACTCCTTTTACTGATAGAGCTTTTTTCTTTTTTGCAGAGTTAAGTACAAAGGAAAATATTTTAATAAAGGATCCTTTGACTACACGTGGCCTTTTTTGTGTGGCAGCTTCCTTGAGGGGGAGCTAGTTCCTTTGTGGGTGGGGGGGGTATCAGTGGTAAAACCTGTGAAGTAACAGTCTGGGTAATAAGCTCTCGTGGGTAACAGATTCTGTCCTGATTGGGAAAAACTCAAAAGACACCTAGAAAGGAACACACTGTAGACACTTTATGGATCTCTTCATAGGAAAAATGTTATTGGCCAGAAAGAAAACCTGTAGTTCAGCACGAACAGAGGAAAACAGTTTCCATCTGAGGTGAATTTCATGTATGGTGGGGGAGGCTGACGAGGCTGACATTGAAAATCACTGACATATCAAAGAAACCTGACGATTATTAACCTTTGATACTGATCCCTCAGTCACATGAAATTGAGCCTCAGGTCTGCTGCAGGAACTAGCCTATCTCTGTTGTTAACTAGTTCACAGGTTTTTCTCTAGACTTTCTCCCAGTAGAGACTATTTTCTAACGTACCTGTGTCACCTGTTTTCCAGATCATCTGCTGCAGGAACTAGCCTATCTCTGTTGTTAACTAGTTCACAGGTTTTTCTCTAGACTTTATCCCAGTAGAGACTATTTTCTAACGTACCTGTGTCACCTGTTTTCCAGATCGCTCAACTTGTTCTAGCCACTTTTCTAGTGCCTGAGCTTATCAGTCCCCACTTTTTGATGACCCTCAAGACACTTTGGTATTGTGAGAGACTACACCTCAGCAGCCTGAAACACTACCTCGAAGGGCTTCTGGGTACCAGACTAAAAGGAGGTGGAAATGATTGCCTTAAGAACTTGATTTCCCCCACAGTTGTCATTGTTAATTTTTGCAAATGGTTCCTTTAAGTCAGTGGTTTTAATCACATCAGGATGGAATGGACTACCTGAACTCCACAGTGAGTAGGGGAAACATTCCAGTGTCCTACAAGGCACAGGGACCAAGGAAACCAAGCTAAGGCAGCTTCCCTTACACTGAAAGCCACTCATTGGGAGCCTGTCTCCGATATTCAGTGGTTGGCTAGCCAAAACCCTGAGATGACACCACACCAACTGGGTGTGAGAACAGTGGTTAAACTACAAGAATGGAGAGGAAGCGGCCTATGGTGAAAATCTGCATCTCCTAAAGGAAACGTACTTTCCATCAGGAAGAATTTGAATTAGGTGCAATCTGTGACCTGCCTCCAACCCAAACATGGCTGTCTCAGATCTTGCCCCTCTAGTGGCCATTCCTGTTGAGGCCTCCATAGAATGGCATGTACCTCTTGCTGATGGACTTCATTAGCATCATCCTCTGTCTGCTTTCTCTAACAGTTCACAAGAGGACGTCGCACCTAATGGTGCTTTTGTGAATTTTCCTGTCTTTCCAGCATTAAGGAGTATATCCTCCCCAAGAAGAATCGAGTACTTAACAGTTGGCCCTAGAATCCTTTTCCTCACCTGCATTTACTCCCCCCAAACTGGATACCTTAATATTTCTCAACTAGTCATTTCTCGCCAATGCTCTTCGTTGTTTTGTAGTAGTTCTCATTACTTCAGGGAGAAATTACAAACATTGGGAAAAATGCCTGACCTTCATGTAAAGAACCAAGTTCTTAACTCGATTTAATCACTTATCCCTAATAAACCAAGGCTTTTGGAGTGCTTCCACATAAAGTGCTCTGGCCCACTGTCTTGAAAATCTGCATCTCCTAAAGGAAACGTACTTTCCATCAGGAAGAATTTGAATTAGGTGCAATCTGTGACCTGCCTCCAACCCAAACATGGCTGTCTCAGATCTTGCCCCTCTAGTGGCCATTCCTGTTGAGGCCTCCATAGAATGGCATGTACCTCTTGCTGATGGACTTCATTAGCATCATCCTCTGTCTGCTTTCTCTAACAGTTCACAAGAGGACGTCGCACCTAATGGTGCTTTTGTGAATTTTCCTGTCTTTCCAGCATTAAGGAGTATATCCTCCCCAAGAAGAATCGAGTACTTAACAGTTGGCCCTAGAATCCTTTTCCTCACCTGCATTTACTCCCCCCAAACTGGATACCTTAATATTTCTCAACTAGTCATTTCTCGCCAATGCTCTTCGTTGTTTTGTAGTAGTTCTCATTACTTCAGGGAGAAATTACAAACATTGGGAAAAATGCCTGACCTTCATGTAAAGAACCAAGTTCTTAACTCGATTTAATCACTTATCCCTAATAAACCAAGGCTTTTGGAGTGCTTCCACATAAAGTGCTCTGGCCCACTGTCTGGATAAAGGTAAATCTCTAAAATGAGTGATATTTTTTTTTTTTAAAGATGACCGGTAAGGGGATCTTAACCTTAGACTTGGTGTTGTCAGCACCACGCTTACTCAGTGAGTAACCGGCCATCCCTATATGGGATCCGAACCTGTGGCCTTGGTGTTATCAGCACCACACCTCTCCCAAGTGAGCCACGGGCCGGCCCCAAAACTGAATTAAATTTGAGTTAACAGTTGGACTCACAGATTCTTTGATGCTAACTGAATGAAAATGTTAAAGAGAATTCTTGAGCTTCCCCATGCAAGGTGGAAAATAGTGACCAAGTATTTATTAGAGGTGCTTCTGCATGTGGCTGTCCACTACAGACTACAAAAGTCAAATGTCATCCCCAGATGCTTTTAAGCCCTCAGCATTTCTCTGAGAGCCCCACCCACCTGCCCTGACTTAGATGTTGAGTTCCGAGTTGGCATATCTGGGGCTTTCTCCACCTACTGTGTTCCCAGCTATTCTCCAGCATGGACTCTCTGATGTCTAATGAAAGCTGACCTACACCTGAAGGCCCTTCCACACTCAGTGCATTCATAGGGTTTCACACCACTGTGAGTCCTCTGATGCTGACTAAGGGTTGAACTCTGGTTAAAAGCTTTTCCACACTCATTACATTCGTAAGGCTTTTCTCCAGTGTGAATAATGTGATGTCGAATAAGGGCTGAGGTCTTCTTGAAGAATTTCCCACATTCATTACATCTGTATGGCTTTTCCCCAGTGTGTGTCTTTTGGTGGCTTTCAAGATGTATACTCTGGCTGAAGGCCTTCCCACACTGACTGCACTTGTAGGNAAGGCCTTCCCACACTCACTGCACTCGTAGGGTTTCTCCCCAGTGTGCCTCTTCTGCTTCTGAGAAAGGGACAAACAGTAGCTGAAGGCTTTGCCAAACTCATTACATGTGTACGGTCTCACTCTCTGAGGCTCAATTACTTGTGAATTCTTAAATCTCTTAGAGTGTGTTTCACATTCATGAGGACTCACTTCTTTAGGAACTCTCTGCTGTAGTGAAAGGACTGGTCTCAGACGGAAGCTCTTCCCAAGTTCACCCTTTCTGTGCTCTGACTCCCCAGGGGCCATCTCTATACTCGTGTCTGGAAATGATTCTTCAGAAATGGCTTGCTGGGGTGGTGACTGAGATACAATCTTCCAGTCTGAAAAAGAGTTAGAAAAGCAATAATCCTGTATACCCTTGGTGGAAGAAATGCTGAAGGAGTTTGGCCAAGCTCTTACACAGTTTCACCTCTTTCACCAGAACATTTCTATTCTAAATCATAAAATTTAGAGCCAAGGTGGTTTAGACCAAGACGGTTTTTCAGAGACATTCAGGTGTTAGCTGCCCTATTTCTGAGAGGAGAGAGGAGCAGGGTTAGTTCTAGGTACTCCTTCTTTTAATTTCATACAGAATCTGGACACAGACTGGTTGGGGTTATGTCTTGGCTCACCTCTCATTAGCTGTGTGACTTTGGGCAAATTCTTTAATCTTTCTGTGCCTTGGATTTATCATCTGTGAAAGCAGGTCCCTTTCCAAATGACTGAAGGGATTAAATGAGTTAAGACACATAAAGGACCCAGAATGGTCCTAAGCATTAAAAGCAGGTTTCCCTCTAAATTGCACGATGACCAATCTACTGAGAGCACATAGGTCCTCCTTTCAGATTGAGGGTGTCCCTATGTAACCTGGTATTCAATCATAGATGGGTTTGACAGCTCTTAAAAACAGACCATCTAGCTAAGAAAAAAAAGGAAAGGAGAGGAAAAGTGGCAAGAAAAACAGTGGGAGAAAGGGGCAATTCAGAAGCCCAAGTGACCACCACGTATTCCCATCTCTTAGCCCACATCTCCCCTGAGTGTTATGCCGAAAACAGAACCCCTGATTTTCCCTTGCAAGCCAGCATCTTTCTCAGTCTTCCCATTCGCCCACCTGTAAAACACGAGGGTCAGCCTTAATGTTCCTTTTCCCTGCACACCAAATGCAATCCACTAGTGAGTCCTGTTGGCTTTAACACCAAAATTATATCCTGAGTCCCTCTTCTTAGCAAGCCACCATCATCTCTCACTGGAATGTCTG